GAATTTTTGCAAGACGGCGGAACTTAGACCAGTTGGTTGTTACCGTGGCTCTCTTGTCGGTTCCTAGCATGATGCGACAATTGGCGTGTAGAACACTGTTTGCAAGCCTGACGTTGAGCGTATCATAATCTGGGTCATGTAATCTTTTAGTTTGCTTTCGTTGTAGTTGACCTGAAAATACTGGTGAGAAAAAAGGAATTAATTGAATGGATTGGAGAGTGTCTTGTCACTCTTACACTAAGAAGGTTTAAATATAGATAGTGAGAACAGTTATCAGTAAATAATGGCAGAAAGCAAAAGAAGGGTGCAGAGCATGCTACATTCCTTCTTACGTGGAGCATAAGATGTAAATCGGTTGTTTCTGTATGTATGGTAGAAAGAAAACATGTATATCAGACTATATGAATATTAGTTTCTAAAGTTACACGTAGCAAGTTGATGAGAATTGTTGTGCTGGTGCTAATAGCAGTGTATACAGTTTTTTCAATATTTCGCAATAAAGTCAATTTGGTGAATCAAAAGCATACCGCATGTTGTACTTCTGATGATTAGTCAAGTAAGTAGTTTAGTTGTGAGGTATAAGTAAAGATGATTCTTTTTTCAATGAAGTGGAAGGAAGGAGTTTACCATCCGTTTGCATGGCTTTGTGAATGTTTTGTTGATGGTGCAGACATAGTATTTGATATCTGGTTTTTTGCGGCAGAACATGGCAAACAACTTATTCACATGGTGCTGATAGAGCTTCACTTCATTGCCTAGTGACAGTACCTTTCAAGCTCTTCGCAATATTGGATAGCAGGGGGTGGTCCTGAATTTAGTTTCGTTTTGGTAAGATCAAAATGAAGCAACACATGTAAGAAGGCTGAATACTATTTATTGTTAGGAGACTAAGCATTCATCAAGAGAAAAGTAGAATTAAGCTTTAAACCTATGGTACGAAGATATAGTAAGCAAGAGAATATCAGAACATGATAATAAGCATTGTAGCCTGGTCTTGAGCGAGCGCCCTACCGTAATTAGCCTGTCTCTAATCAGGAAAGAGCTGCAAACACGTACTTTGTTAGAGAGAGTGAAGTCATCGCCTAGTCGTCGGCCGCCATTCACTTCAATGCACCAATAAGAGAGGGTGTTGCGCACCATCAATACGCCCAGCCCCCTGCACCGAAATAACCACACCCATGATGAATTGATTGCTCCAATTAACACGGCCTGCTCAGCCTCTCCGAATCGATGCCACTGGGGTCGTCCTCAGTAACCTCTCGCAGCATGCTCAGCCTCTCCGAATCGATGCCGAAAACAACAGAATCGGGGTAATTAGCAGTCCCCCACAAGGCCACGATACTCTTGAGCACACAGATCCGTTGCTTTCCCCATAATCGTATACATGCTATGGAAGACAGGGGGGATCGATTAGAGATCGTCTAGCACTATCATGCTGAGAAAACAAGAGGATTCATATGGATCCTGACAAGCTAACCTAGATTTCTCTGTTTCTGCTGAAGCCATGCCATCTTCCCCCATTGCGCCTCCACCAGCTCGAGGCTTCAAGAAGATGTACAGTGCTATAGATCGAGGGACGGTTCACCCGCTTGCTAAATGATGGTGCACCAAACATCAGGGCATTTATGACCACACCACCGAACGGCCGTCCCAGTGTGTCGAGTCGCTAACGGACAAGGCTGTATTCGTACGCAAATAAATGTGTGTTGGCCCACATGCGAGAGCGTATAGTGGACGTATCCCCGTTGTGAAAAAGGAAAACACTGTGCTGTGAGAAAGGAAAACACTGTGCGGTATTTGCGTGTGGGCAGGAGATGCTATATTAGCTGCTGATCACGACGCGCTGCGGACGCACAAGATAACGATCTCGGGTGGCCGCATGTCCTCAAAATTCGCGTCGCAGTAAAATGGCATTTAAAATAAAATGACCTAATAGTTTTTATGATCTGCTATACTTCTCCGACGCCAATTTTCTGCCTTAGAACAGAAAAAACATATATCAGGCCGATCAATAATGCTCAACTTAACTAACTTGCTTAGTATTTTAACGCTAGGCCGAGGGCCGAGTCTTGTATCTACTGCCAGATGGAAAGACCAAGATATGAAGGCAGTGGTAGTAGGTAGTCATTGCTGAATGTCTCATCATTATCAAACATGATTTCATCATTTGATTGTACTAAGTGTGGGTCAGTTAATATGGATCGAACGAAGTAGTACAATTTGTACCGTACTTCATTTGATGGCAGTCTATCAGTTAATATGTCATTCATCTTCAAAGCCAACACCCACATCTCTTGGTCCATAACCTACCATCACAGTGTAAGAGAACTGCCCTGGTTATCACTCATCAGAACGACCGTCCAAAGAACAAATCATCCAACATCAGTGACAATATTGAGCAGGCTACAACAGAGGTAAGGGTAGGCTCTAAGGGCAAGTCCAACGCTGACACCGACTTTTTCAGCTCTGTTTAGTCCCACAAGCCAAGGCTGTCTTGATTGCTCAAGACATGATTGTTTCAGCCTGTTGTCAGAGTCATTGCCCCTCTTTTTGGTCCAAAATGAGGTTATCTCTGCACACCAAGCAACATGACCATGATGCCCCATTACATGTGTGCACACATCCAGCCATCAAGCTCAGGAGCTGCTCATACCTGGAGTCGACCGACCAACCCCCAGTGCGGACGGCATGTCAGACAAACACCGTACGGTTCCCAGCCAACGCCACACCCGAATCCAATGCACGGCGGTCGTTGGCAGCGGTGCGGAACTGACGTGGAGGCCAACCGGACGATTGGCCAGCAATCCGGCAACGAGAGCTCGCCTGATTCGGCTTAGGGTTTGGGTTCAGGGGTGTGAACATAATCGAACATAAAGCTCTATATGTTTCCTCGATGATTTTTTTGAAAGAAAATACAATATGCCTTTATTTACCATTGATTGATCCGCAGAGAGCATCTGACGCTGCCCCATATGAATGGATCAATCTTGTGGATAAATGGTACTTTTGTCTATTTCATTATAACCCATATAGTTGCCTTGTATGATCAAAACATTGAACCTGGATTCTATCTTGGACCTGGGAGGAAAAACCCAACTCGGTTTGCATTAGCATGATGCAGCAGGGAGGAAAAATAGCCTGCATACTATTGTTATCCGATCGCTATCTTAGCATACATTGTATATGTGTAGTGTAATCCGCAGCATTAAATTGGCATGACAGATGCTGCCAAAGGTGTTAGGCTAGCATGCGTCTGACATATATGTTTAATGAAAACAATGGGCAAAACTAATCTACTTAACTAAGTCCCAAAATATAAACTCTGAAATATAAGCAAGAGCACAAAGAACTGAAAACCACTGATCTGGATACTGATATCCTGGTACACATTGAACGACACAACCGAAGTTTCTTCTCCTCTACATTTAATAAAATAGACGAATGTAGGTAGGTGGACTGGGTGAAGTGTGTAACCTGCAGTGGCAATGCCACATACAGTCGGCATGAGAAATTAAGAGTCCATTCATCTTGCGCAAAAACCTTCTTTTTTGCTTCTCTCTAATGATTTCCAACCTTTACTGTACTAAGCAAAACATATCTTAAATTTTTGAATCAGTATGTTCATCAGAAGGAACTAAAAACATCTACTACCAAATATTATTAGAGTTAGTCTCTCCAAGTTCAGAACCACTAAATGGCAATGGAAATTACCGGTGCAATTTTTTACAGAGCAAGATGATGTGCCAGGAAAGCTAAAAGTGGTATTTCACAGAGAATAATAATGTAAAGACAATATCGGCGGGAGCTACTGGGTGGGACACTAAAAAAACTGAAATATATACACCATCTTTAGAAGGCGGGATTTGCAACAATCAATTGATTAATGAAAGGTTGAACCATCTAAAAGCATACGGAAAAATAAAACTAACATGTCCAGAGTTCCTTTGGTATGTGTGTGCTTGACAGCCTCGTGTGTAGTCTTGCTCTTGCATAAATATGATTCCAGCAATCAATCGCGGAACAGGATTGCTTCCTATAGCTGAATCAATCAGCCAGTCCTTCAGGCTGGAGATCGCACCTTCCTTCAAAGTCGCACAAAGTAATGAATATAAGCATTTCAGTATATCAAAGAAATCTGGGGAAAAACTAACTGGGGTGACACACATCACCACTCATTTTCTTATGTTTACCTACAGGAATAAAATGTTGGCGTGGCATGCAACAAATGAGTAAACTGTTTCAATCAAGTGAAATGCATTATAAGTACATTATCATTTTCTTCAATGGAACTTTGGTAGCTACACCCAAGCTTTCACTTTCCTGGAATGAATGACTACCTTTTAAAAGCATGATCTATTATGGTCTTAGTAGTAAGCAACTCGGATAGAAGCATAGGCTAATGTGAGGCAGTTACACACGCCGCAAAAGCATCCCAAAGACGGATGTTTTTCACGCAAGCTATATTAGTAGAGAAACTATTGCTCAGCTTTGTAATATCGTAACCAGAAAAAAGAAAAAGAAGCCTATGAAAAATTGCACAGGAGCACATATTAACAGAAGGAAAATCAGACTAAATTATAAAATCATATAACTTAGTCCCAGAATCCTTTCGTATAAGGAGTGAAGAAATGTTTGTAGTCTCAAGAGCCTCGTCGGTATGAAATCTTTCAACTATTTTGTTACACGTGTCAACATCCCTCAGTTCCAGTAGCAGCAATCAAGAGTCAAGAATAAATCAGATTGGTACTTAAACAAATGACAAATTTTAAGCTCCAGTTAAGTCAAGCATATATAAAAAAACATGCCCCTGAACTTCATTTTCGTCAATTGGGGGGATGTAATATACGATAGCATACATCAAGAAATAGTAGATGAATGTTCTTTTCAGGCTTAATTCTTTTCAGCATATATACGACCATTGTTTTTTCCTGTAAATACACTGATGTACTACCATCTCATTGCAAATTATATATTGTGCCAAGGAAAAATTGTTTTACTTTTCAGCATATATATACAATCATACGGTAGTCACACGTATAAGCAGCGCCACAAAAACAAACACACAAACACGACACCCGGAAAAACAGGAATACAAAGGAATTAGCACGATAATAAGCAGTAAACAAATAGGGTAGAAAATTGCAGCTCTTAGGGAAGAACAACAAGGACATACCTAAAACACTATCAAAAGGGGTGAAACAATTACCTGAGAGGGTGAGGCGGCATGGTACAGATTTGGTTCTCTGAAATAAAGCATTAGCCATTAACAAAAAAAAAATCATCACACATGGCCAGAGATGTGAATGACCAACATATTAAAATCTCCCTCTTAAAGCTTGCAAGCCAGTAATATAGGTAGCAACGATGTATTCCCCGGCACATTGAGGGAGGAAAGGAGAAACACATGGTCTGTGAGGAGAACGAACTACAACCATGAAGGACTAACAGATCTGACACGTACCTCAACCAGCTTGCCGGCGGCGCCGCCTCCATGACGAACCACGACGGCCTTCTCCATCTCCCCAGCAGCTCAAGCCCACCGCGACCAACCCGTTGCTTCCTGTCCTTGGCACCTATGTCCCCTGCTCCTTGCAACGATGGCGGCATGGGAGAGAGAGGGAGAGGAGGAGGAGAGGTGGGAGCGCAAAGATCTGCACCCGATCCAGAACCACGGCACGCGGCGAGTGATGCCGGTGACCTGCACCTCGAGCGCCGGGGAGAGAAGGCCGCGTCGGCCGCTGCATGGAGCCGGCGGCGTGACGGTAGGGAAGGAGGGGATCGGGGGAGGAGAGAGCACAGGAGAGAAGGCAAGAGCGGAGATATTTTCACGGGTGGGTGCAAACGAGGACAGTAAAAGAATGCCCATCCAATCCACGAACACCCCTGGCAACCCACGATCGATCGCCCAAGTCTTTCACACGGACACATGCACGCACACGCCGTCGCTGCAAGGCTAGCCCGCGTGCAAGGCTGGCCCATGCATCAGTGACTTTAGCTCGGCTATGCGGTGTACAGAAGAACGACCGTCCAGATATTAACCAGGTCGACAGAAGGTATGGTGAAAACGCCAGCGAGGTAAATCGAGCGTACAGGATTCGCTGAAAACGTCGATGGCTCTGGTATGGCGGGTTGGCTAGAGGGGTTTATATGTTCAATTGGTGGTCCATTTGTAGCATGATGTTTGTTGTAGATGTATGTTCATGGTCATAGATTGTCCGGTATGCTCAGTATGATAGCGATGAACCATATGTGCTTAGTATGATAGTGATGAAGCATGTGCTTGCTATGATAGTGATGAACCATGTACATGTATGCTCCTGCTTATTGTCAATGTGTGCTATGATTGTAGGACATGATCACGCAGACACAAGATCTTAGTCAGGCCATTGTCCTGTCCGACAGCCAGTTTGCTCCATCGTTTGTCGAGGACTCGCATGTTGGGGAACGTAGCATGCAATTTGAAAAAAATTCCTGCGATCACGCAAGATCTATCTAGGAGATGCATAGCAACGAGAGGGGGAGAGTGTGCCCACGTACCCTCATAGACCAAAAGCGGAAGCGTTGGTTAATGCGGTTGATGTAGTCGAACGTCTTCATGATCCAAGTACCGAACATATGACACCTCCGTGTTCAGCACACGTTCAGCTCGATGACATCCCTTGAACTCTTGATCCAGTAGAGGGTCGAGGAAGAGTTCCATTAGCACGACGGTGTGGCGATGGTGTTGATGATGTGATCCGCGCAGGGCTTCGCCTAAGCACTATGACGCTATTACCGGAAGAGTAAACTATGGAAGGGGGCACTGCACACGACTAAGAGAATTCTTGGTGTGCCTTTGGGGTGCCCCCTGGCCACGTATATAAAGGAGGCGGAGGAGGAGGCCGGCGGCCAAGGAGGGCGCGCCAAGGGGGGTCCTACTTGGAATCCTAGTCCAAGTAGGATTCGACCCCCTCCTTCCAATCAACGGAGAGGGGAAAGGGGATGGAAGAGAGGGAGAAGGAAAGAGGGGGGCCGCACCCCCTCCCATTGTCCAATTCAGATTGGGGCAAGGGATGGCACGCGCCACCTCCCGTGGCCTGCCTCCTCTCCTCCACTATGGCCTAATAGGCCCAATAACTTTCCGGGGGGGGGGGTGAGGGAGTCCTAGATTAGGGGGTCCTCGGACAGCCGGACTATATACTTATGTCGGACTGTTGGACTATGAAGATACAAGATTGAAGATTCGTCCCGTGTCCGGGTGGGACTCTCCTTTGCATGGAAGGCAAGCTTGGAAATTCAGATATGTAGATTTCCTTCTCTATAACTGACTCTGTGTAACCCTAGCTCCCTCCGGTGTCTATATAAACCGGAGGGTTTAGTCCGTAGGACAACAACAATCATAATCATAGGCTAGCTTCTAGGGTTTAGCCTCTGTGATCTCGTGGTAGATCAACTCTTGTAATACTCATATCATCAAGATCAATCAAGCAGGAAGTAGGGTATTACCTCCATAGAGAGGGCCCGAACCTGGGTAAACATTGTGTCCCCCGCCTCATGTTACCTTAGCCTTAGACGCACAGTTCGGGACCCCCTACCTGAGATCCGCTGGTTTTGACACCGACATTGGTGCTTTCATTGAGAGTTCCATTGTGACGTCGAAAAAAGGTTTGATGGCTCGCCTCGTTATCGAGGACAACATCACCTCTGGGGGAGCCCTGGCTTTAGGCCAAACCCTCCGACTAGGCGGCTTCATCATGACCGCCCGCTCGGCCGCCATGCCGATGATGACTTCTTGGGTCATCAAAAATAGCCTCCACATTGATACGTCTCCAACGTATCTATAATTTTTGATTGTTCCATGCTATTATATTACCCGTTTTGGATGTTTATGGACTTTACTTTACACTTTTATATCATTCAGTGTTTCGAAGAAAAGGAGTACCAAATGGAGTCCAAACGGAATGAAACCTTCGGAAGCGATCTTTTTGGAACAAACATGATCCAGAGGACTTGGAGTGCAAGTCAAGAAGCAATCGAGGAGGCCACGAGGGTGGAGGGCGCCCCCCTACTGGGCGCGCCCCCCTATCTCATGGGCCCCTCGGGCGTCCACCGACCTACTTCTTCCTCCTATATATACCCACGTACCCCAAGAACATCAGGGGCGACCACGAAAAACTATTTCAGCCACCATAACCTTATGTATCTACGAGATCCCATCTTGGGGCCTTCGCGGCGCTCCACCGGAGGGGGAATCAACCATGAAGGGCTTCTACATCAACACCATAGCCTCTCCGATGAGTTGTGAGTAGTTTACCAGAGACCTTCGGGTCCATAGTTATTAGCTAGATGGCTTCTTCTCTCTCTTTGAATCTCAATACCATGTTCTCCTTGATATTCTTGGAGATCTAATTGATGTAACTCTTTTTGCGGTGTGTTTGTCGAGATCCGATGAATTGTGGGTTTATGATCAAGTTTATCTATGAGAAATATTTGAATCTCCTTTGAATTCTTTTATGTATGATTAAGTTATCTTTGCAAGTCTCTTTGAATTATCAGTTTGGTTTGGCCTACTAGATTGATCTTTCTTGCAATGGGAGAAGTGCTTAGCTTTGGGTTCAATCCTGCGGTGTCCTTTCCCAGTGACAGCAGGGGCAGCAAGGCACGTATTGTATTGTTGCCATCGAGAATAAAGGATGGGGTTTATATCATATTGCATGAGTTTATCCTTCTACAACATGTCATCTTTCTTAACGCGTTACTCTGTTCTTTATGAACTTAATACTCTAGATGCATGCTGGATAGCGATCGATGTGTGAAGTAATAGTAGTAGATGCAGGCAGGAGTCGGTCTACTTGTCACGGACGTGATGCCTATATACATGATCATGCCTATATAATCTCTTCGCTTTTCTATCAATTGCTCGACAGTAATTTGTTCACCCACCATAATGCTTATGCTATCTTGAGAGAAGCCACTAGTGAAACCTATGGCCCCCGGGTCTATCTTTTATCTTATAAGCTTTCAATCTACTTTTATTTGCATCTTTACTTTTCCAATCTATATTATAAAATACCAAAATATATTTATCTTATCATATTATCTCTATCAGATCTCACTTTTGCAAGTGGTCGTGAAGGGATTGACAACCCCTTTATTGCGTTGGTTGCGAGTTCTTGTTTGTTTGTGTAGGTGCGTGGGACTTTTGAGGAGCCTCCTACTGGATTGATACCTCGGTTCTCAAAATTTGAGGGAAATACTTACGCTACTATTGCTGCATCACCCTTTCCTCTTTAAGGAAAACCAACGCAAGCTCAAGTCGTAGCAAGAAGGATTTCTGGCGCCGTTGCCGGGGAGGTCTTCGCTCAAGTCAAGACATACCAATTTTCAAGTTTTGGGTAAAGATTTGATGGATTATGGAATAAGGAGTGGCAAGAGCCTAAGCTTGGGGATGCCCAAGGCACCCCAAGATATTCAAGAATGGACAAAATCCTATGCTTGGGGATGCCCCGGAAGGCATCCCCTCTTTCGTCTTCGTTTATCGGTAACTTTACTTGGAGCTATGTTTTTATTCGCCACATGATATGTGTTTTGCTTGGAGCATCTTGTATGATATTAGTATTTGCTTTTTAGTTTTCCGCAATCATCCTTGCTGCACACACCTTTTGGGAGAAGCCCACTTGATTAGAATTTATTAGAATACTCTATGCGCTTCACTTATATCTTTTGAGCTAGATAGTTTTTGCTCTAGTGCTTCACTTATATCTTTTAGAGCACGGCGGTGGCTTAATTTTGAAGAAATTGTTGATCTCTCATGCTTCACTTATATTATTTTGAGAGTCTTTTAGAACAGCATGGTATTTATTTTGGTTATAAATTTGGTCCTAGAATGATGAGCATCCAAGTTGGGTAGAATAAAAACTATCATAAAAAGTGCATAAAACACTAGGATCAATTTGATGCTTGATAATTGTTTTGAGATATAGAGGTGGTAATGTTAGAGTCATGCTAGTGGGTAATTATGAAATTGAGAAATACTTGTGTTGAAGTTGGCAAATCCCTAGCATGCACGTATGGTAAAAGTTGTGTGACAAATTTGTTGAATGAGGTGCTCTTTTGATTGTCTTCCTTATGAGTGGCAGTAGGGGACGAGTGATGGTCTTTTCCTACCAATCTATCCCTCTAGGGGCATGCGTAGTAGTACTTTGCTTCGAGGGCAAGCAGACTTTTGCAATAAGTATATGAGTTCTTTCGACTAATGTTGAATCCATGGATTATACGCACCCTCACCTTTCCACCATTGCTA